GATGGTGCTGTGGTTTGTCAAGGCCATTGATAGAGGGTATTTCCTTGGAGTAAAATAGGAAGAGTGGTGAGATCTCCACCGATGTTTCTGTCTCCTTCAGGGCATCACCCAATCTTCTCATTGTCCTTACTCTGTCTGAGCTGTGTGCTCAAATATCTCAAGGCTGCCCCATTGTGCTGGTATCTCAGCAAAAACTTATACCCTGTTTTGTCAGCTGACAATCTTTAGTTGTAGTCTTCACATAATTCAGGATGTACAATGCCAGTTCCATAGGGATTTACTGGAAGAATGAATGTGCCCGGATCACTCATACATTTATGGCATTTAGTGTCAACTGGACTCTTTCTATAGTTCAGAAATCCTTAAAAATTCTAGCCCATATCTGCAGTGGTTTTCTAATTCTTCACTTTTCCCCTTATTTTGCCAATATCTATTTGTTTTTTGTTCAAAATTATCCAAGTTCTCTACCAGGGCTGACATATTCATTATGCACAACAGGCACAGTGCCTAGGGTTCACAATTATCTTAGGGCCTTTGAAAATATTTCATTTCTTTTAAGATTGCAAAAATATATGAATGCAATCTAGTCTGAATTATGTTTGTTTTTATATCCATGCAGTCATAAGTATAATTTAAAATTTTTTTAATAGAAGAAAGGTTCATAATGTGACCCTACTCCTTACTTCATAAACAGTATATTAAATTTTAATAGGATTTTATAGCATAGGAGCTGTGGTGGCGAAGTGCCTAAGGCACTTGACTGCTAACCAGAAGGCTGGTGGTTCAAACCCACCAGCCACTACTTGAAAGGAAGGTTTCAAGCCATTCAGGTCACTTCTGATTCTAGGATGGTCTATTGGTTTCTGTGTCTTTGCTCTTGATTCTCACTTCAAATATTCTTCTTTGTTCCACTGATTCAAACTCTCATGGACCTCCCAGTTTTGACTCAAATCTTTAACCTGTCTTTCCTACTTCCTCCATTAAACCCATAGCTCTCTGTTGATGTCATTGGACTCCTTGCTCTCAGTTGCCTTATGTCATAGTCTGGATTTTGTTTCTTTTAAAACTTCATGTCTAACATATATCTCAATTCCCCCTTCAGACAATGAACTTTTTGAGAACATAGGCCACATTTAATAGGATTTTAAATAATAATAACAATCACAAATCTGCATTCTCTGACTTCATTTCCACCCATTGTATTAGCTTCCCACCTCCTCAAATTCCTCTCATGTTGTTCTGGAAGCCTCCTATAGAGTCCCATGTATACCTCAGACAAGATTTCTTGACTGCTCCTTTCACTTCAAGGTCCCTACCAGAGCTAATACCCAGCAGCAGTGTTGCTGATATTGTTGTTCATCAAAGTTCATGCTACCTACCCATGATGCACAAGGGCTGCTCTTTTTGCTGACTTTCAAGGATGTTATCTCCACAGATCATGTTATACGTGCTCTCATTTTTGTGGAAGCCATGAGCATTTTTGCTATCACTTCAGGAAACTGCTTTCATTTGTGCTGTGGATGCCTTTTAATTGTATTGTCCTATGATGATAAAGAGCTTTTATGTTTTTTTCCTTAATCTTTTCTTATCTCCTGTAGCCTTAGGTTCAGGTGTGCGTCCAAGAGGACCAGGATGGTGGGCAGTTTATGTTAGTTGTTGTTGCTGAGTTGATTTTGACTCACAGTGATCTCACATGACAGAGTAGAAAGGCCTTGTAGGGTTTTCTAGGCTGTAAATTTTATAGGAGCTGATCACAAGGTCTTTTTCCTGCACATTTTCTTATCTCCTGTAGCCTTAGGTTCAGGTGTGCGTCCAAGAGGACCAGGATGGTGGGCAGTTTATGTTAGTTGTTGTTGCTGAGTTGATTTAGACTCACAGTAATCTCATATGACAGAGTAGAAAGGCCTTGTAGGGTTTTCTAGGCTGTAATCTTTACAGGAGCTGATTGCGTGGTCTTTTTTTCTGCACAAACACTAAGTGGGATAGAACCACCAATCCTTCAGTTAGCAGTTGAATGATTAACTGTTGTGCCACCAGGGCTCAGTTATGTTACTACCAAAAAATAAAACCAAACCCACTGCCAGTGAATTGATTTCAACTTATAGAGGCCCTATAGGACAGAGTAGAACTGCTCCATAGGATATAGGATTTCCAAGACTGTAAATCTTTATGGAGCCAGACTCTTTCTGACTCAGAATGGTTATTGATGTTAGTAGTGGTGCTATATTTAGAATCATTTTGAACTCTAATATATGTGGCTATGTAATAAGAAGACCAAGGAGCTCTGGTGTCTTGGTGGTTAAACCACTCATCTGCTAACCCAAAAGTTTGCGATTTGAACTCACCAATGGGTCTGTGGGAGAAAGATGAGGAAGTCAGTGTCCATAAAGATTTACAACATTGGAAATCTATGGGGCAGTTCTACTCTGTCCTGCAGGGTCCCCATAAGTTCGAATGGATTCAACAACAGTGGGTTGGTAGTAAATCCACCATCTGTTTGTCACTTTATTGTACTGTGGTGGTTTGCATATTACTATTATGTTGAAAGCTAGGCCACCAGTATTTCAAACACCAGCAGGATCACCCACAGTGGACAGGTTTCAGTGGATCTTCTAGACTGAGACACTAGGAAGAAAGGCCTGGCACTCTACTTTTGAAAATGAAATCCTATGGATCACAACAGAACTGGAAGATGGATGACCTAGGTTAAAGGCACACAAAACAGATAGTGACTGCAGCAATGGACTTGAGCATACTAACAACTATGAAGATGGTGCAGGACCAGGTAACATTTCATTACGTTCTACATGAGTTGCGATGAGTTAGAGCTGACTTGATGGCAACTAACAATAGCAATGTTGTAAGCTACAGTCCTATATGAAGACTCCTGCCTGGCTTGGGCATTTTTATACTACTTTTCTAGTATTCTGCTTTTGTCTAGCAATCCCATGGTAGCCTTCTGGATTTACAAAACTTTTAAATCTGATGATTCAAAGAGCCCTATTTCTGGACCCTCCAATCCTGTCAGCAATCTATGACCCAATGACCAAACCAAACCAAACCAAACAAAAGAACAACCAAACTCACTGCTCTTCTTGGGTTTCTGAGGCGGTATCTCTACAGAATTAGATTGCTCAATCTTCCTTCTGAGGAGTGCATGGTGGGTTTGAACCACCAGCCTTCTTGTTAGCAGTCAAATGCCTTAGGCACTACACCACCAGAGCTCCTATGACCCCAGGATAGCTCATCAATAGAAGCTTAAATTGTAATACCATTAACAAACTCATAAGGTCAAGTTTAAATCCATCTT